GCACTGCAGTAACACTGACGTGGTGGTGGTGTGTTAGTGTGTGTTGTGCTGGTCTGAGTGGATCAGACACAGCAGTGCTGCTGGAGTTTTTAAACACCTCAGTGTCGCTGATGGACTGAGAATAGTAACACACCACATTAAGACACCACCACCACGTCAGTGTTACCGCAGTGCTGAGAATGATCCACCACCCAAATAGTACCTGCTCTGTGAGGGTCCATGGGGGTCCTGACCACTGAAGAACAGGGTAAAAGGGGGCTAACAAAGTATCAGAGAAACAGATGGACTACAGTCTGTAACTGTAGAACTACAAAGTGCACCTATATAGTAAGTGGAGCTGATAAAATGGACAATGAGCGTAGAAACAAGGAGGTGGTCATAATGTTACGCCTGATTGGTTTATATATGCTTGGACACCCTGAAAGGTGCTTTAGGGAACCAAAAGTGCTTCTATGGCATCACGTAAAGAACCCTTTTTGGCCTCTTGATTTTCAAGAGTGTGTCCACTTAGTTGAAGTGATATTATTTGACACGGTACATTAACTGTGTTTGGATTGGCTGATTAATTACTTTCACACAGTTGAGGTGACTGAGTATAAAACAAGTCTCAGCTGAGTTGCAGAAGGCTTTGCACTATGAAAGCAGAGACACTTAAGTTGAAAGTAAAGCCAGAACTGATGTCAGGAGGAACAGTACAGATTGCTGTTACATTCAAAGGAACCTGGGAGAAAATGTCATACGACTCTTTTCTGCTGTTGATTTATCCACCCTGCCAAATGACTCCAAACCCTGTCATGTTGCACAACAGTCTCTCACATATGGATGTGTTTGAGCTCTGGTGCTGCAGTAAAGCTCTGATGTTTTTGCCCTGTGGAAATGCGAGGGGCGGCAATAAAGACGCAAAGGCTTCCTGTGTGCTGTGGACCTGCTGTAGTGCATTACATTCACATTTCGAAACACATGCTCAAGCACACGTTTCCAGAGACACAGATCAGTGTTTGTTTTCGTCGTACATTTTCAGTACTTATTCATTTACACGTTTACTTATTTATACGGAGCCAGTGCAGAGGATGCACGTACATTTGACTGGGAATACTGAGAGTTTCATTTAATCCCCAGAAACACCCTGTTTGAGAGCAAGGAGACAAATTTGGCAGATTTTAGTAGATCTTCTGGCAAATCCAGCTCCAGTTCTGAAAGATACTTGTATCTATCGGACAATTACACAGAATCCACAACATCTAAACATAATATTGACTTTCAGTATGATTCAATATTATGTTTCGATGTTTTGGATTCTGGGTAATTGTCCAATAGATATGTTTAATGCTTTTTTGCTGGTGCTGAAAAAGTAATAACAAACTGGAAATTAAATAAATGATCTTTTTTAAATAAATCACTTTTGCACGGTACTGTAGATGTTTGCGGATGTATTTAAATATATACGTAAAGTATATATTGCTATTATATATTGGTACTTACATATATATAATGCATATGGGACATGCTACTATCATATATGGGACATACTATTATTACATATAGATACAGTTCTCATTAATCAACAGAAAAGATACAAATACTGTTAGCCCTATAGGCTAATTTTCATCTGTTGTCTTTGGCCAGTTCCTAAAACGGCAGCCTAAAATGATAAATATAAATATATATAATACATATGGGACATTATTATCATATATAGATACTTACATATCCCTGCTGTCAGAACAAAACCTTGTATCTCCATTTTTGTCATTTTTCAGTTTTTGACATAATTTGAAAATGCCTGTTGCTCTTTACATTGTGTGTAAATTTCATGATGAATGGACCAAAAGAAATGGCCCAAAATGACTTGGAAAAAAGTCTGGTTCCATTGACTTACATTAAACATAAAATATGTTTTTTCCTTCTCCTGTAAAGTTATTTTTTTTGGAGATAGAAGGTTTTGATCTGACAGCAGCGATATGTATATAATACATGTGAGACATTATTATTGCATATAGATGCTTCCTTATATAATACATACATATCTGTGACATATTCCTGTGGTTATGTGCCGGACTTTTTCCTCGTTTTTGCTCTGGTTCATCACAATCTCATTCTGAGTTTTAACACGCTGGTAGTTCTTGAGTCACACGGCGCTCGTTTCACAACCACAAGACGAGGCGGCCTTGAATCCAGATGTTCCACCAGCCTCCATCATTTCAAAACATGTTGTTTTGCATGTTGTTTATAGTTCTGTTGTTCAGGTTTAGTGGCTTTTAGAAGCTGATCTATATGGAATGAGGGTGTATTAGAGATATGGAAGGCTGTAATGTTCTCCACAGCTGAAAGGCCATTAATGAAGCATATGGGCAGCACATAGGAGCAGAGACGCTGTGTATGGGGTTGCTGGTGTGGAGCCAGTGCAGAGGATGCACGTACATTTGACTGGGAATGCTGAGAGTTTCATTTAATCCTCAGAAACACCCTGTTTGAGAGCAGGGAGACAAATTTGGCAGATTTTAGTAGATCTTCTCACAAATCCAGCTCCAGTTCTGAAAGATACCTATGTATAAAAATGTGAAAAATTATACGTTTGTTTTGTTTTTAATATACCATGTGACCTCACAACAATTATTGACTAATTAAACCATTCTGACTTATTCCATTCCTCTTGTTGCTGCCGCCATCATTCAAAGCCATATCGCCCCCTACACTTCCTGTAGTGTATTACAGTCTGTCAGAATGACTGTGTGGATCATATGAACATTATAGAGCTTTTTAAAGGAAACAATAGAAGCCATATCGCCCCCTACACTTCCTGTAGTGTATTACAGTCTGTCAGAATGACTGTGTGGATCATATGAACATTATAGAGCTTTTTAAAGGAAACAATAGAAGCCATATCGCCCCCTACACTCCCTGTAGTGTATTACAGTCTGTCAGAATGACTGTGTGGATCATATGAACATTATAGAGGCTTTTTAAATGAAACAGTAGAAGCCATATCGCCCCCTACACTTCCTGTAGTGTATTACAGTCTGTCAGAATGACTGTGTGGCTCATACAAGTATTATAGAACATTATAGAGCGCTTGACACATTATCACGTGTTGAATATTGCGGTATGCTGTATTATTGAGTATCAGCGCATGTCCAGTCACAGTAAAGAAGAGAGGCTTTTCAGTTTCAGCGTTATTTGCAGTGGCAGATGGAGCTGCTGTTTCACTCTGTGCAACTGAACAGGTTGGAATTGACGTGGGTGTGACTGTCTCTCCTGCCGTCCTCCAGTTTCTGAAGAGTTTGTTCTGTTAATCACATCCAGCCCACTGCAGAGGAATTTTACAACCAATTTAACAACCAAAATACACACTCATTCAGAAACACACACGCAAGCTGAAACAGCCTTTGAAATAATATCCTTTATTCAACAAGTGAAGGTTACTGACTATCCCTATTCAGTCAGTACCCATAAGACAGTTATTTATCTGCAGACTCAAATCTGTTGATACAGAATGTAAATCAAATGTAATTCTTACATAATTTTATAATTAAGTACAGAATTACATTTAAGTTTAGTTAGCACAGCAAACCTATAGTAACAATGCTAAGATTCTAAGGGTTAACTCCTTATACTCTATACTTATAATAAAGTTTTTACTCTCTATCCACTATCTACCATGAATTATTCAGTATCTCATATAAATTATTCAGTATATACTATTAATTATTCAATATCTCGTATCTGTTATTCAGTATATACTATGAATTATTCAGTATCTCGTGTCTATTATTCAGTATATACTATGAATTATTCAGTATCTCGTGTCTATTATTCAGTATATACTATGAATTATCCAGTATCTCGTGTATTATTCAGTAAATACTATGAATTATTCAGTATCTCTTATGAATTATTCAGTATATCCTATGAATTACTTATTATCTCATATATTATTCAGTATATACAATGAATTACTTAGTATCTTGTATCTATTTAAGTATATACTATGAATTATTCATCAATTATTCAGTAGCTACTATAAATTATTCAGTATCTATAAATTAGTGAGTATCTACTAAGAATTATTTAGTATGTGCTATAAATTATTCAGCAGCTATTATGAATTACTCATCCACTTTATTCAGTATCTTCTGTGAGTGAATCAGTATCTACTACGAATTATTCAGTGACTAATATGATTGATTCAGTAGCTGCTATGAATTGTTGAGTTCTGTCCTAGTTAAATCAGAATGTGTGCTGGCCCACTGCACTGCCCTCAGCCCTTCCTGCTGAAAATACGTAGCTCAGTTTTTGCTGGCCATGAGGTGCATTAGGCCAGATATGGTGTTTGGTCTTTGCCAGGAAGATGGAGTGTGTGCAGCTTGTTTGGATGAGTGCAGGGGTTTGTGGGAGCTGGACAGAGGCTGGAAGCTGAAGCTGGACTGTGGTGGCCGTAATCCGGACCAAAAATGAAACACGATCAGCAGGCATTTGGTGCTGAGCTCAACTTTAGTGCTGCTGCCGGTTCTCACTGTGGCACCTGCATCAGTTTGGGAATACCGCAATCGACTATAATCGTTTATAATAATATTCCATAAATGCCCCCACTTCTTGGTCATTTACTGTGCTGATTGATCCTTCAGTTACATTTGTGTTGAATCGTTTCCTTAAGAATCAGAATTAAATCTGATTGCAACGCAGTGTCACAGTTGGATCAGGATTGGGTTGCGGTTCAATAAAGACGGTGTGCATCCTTCTGTCTACCTTAAATGCTTTCATCCACATTGACTGAACTATAGCAATGTATACAGACAGACAGACAGACAGATAGATGAGAAGGATTGGTAAGGTTTGAAGTGTCAAAACAAAATTAGTAAAAATGGAAATCCAGTTGTTGAGTTTGATTGATGGGTAGTTCTCTTATCGGCACAGCCCTTGTGGTCACATCTCTCTCTTTTCTTTCTCTGTCTCTGATTCTGATTCTGACTCTGATTCTTCTCTCTCCCCCCACCCTACAGGAGTCACAGAGTGGTGAGCTGAAAGATGGACCAATTTTAGGACATCACTGCCCTCTAGAGGGTATGTACAGAATTACCCACATTGCACAGCAGCTCCCAGACATGTATATATATATATATATATATATATATATATATATATATTAAATTCATTGCTTTTGCACAAAAAAACATTTACATATATCCTGAGGTTATAAGGAGTAGACTTCTTTCTGAGTGAGGCAAAATACAGGGTAGCCAATCAGAAGAGAGCTCATTTACATATATCATATCTTACACACACATATCTTAAAGGCACAGTCACAAAAACAGCCTGTTTAACTGTATGGGGTAACAAGAGGTTATAAAATGGTCGTATAGAAATGAATTATAACTGTTTTTGGTATATAAAATCAAACAAACATAAGTGGACTTCAGCCACATGGGCTCTTAAATTCATTATATATATTATAAGATTTATTCATTCAAGGATTATTCATTATTGGTGTGTTTTTTATAAACTTACTCACTCTGACTGTATGTGTGTGTGTGTGTGTGTGTGTGTGTATAGTGGTCCTTCCCCCTGAGAAAGCGGAGGGCTGTGAGAGTTTGCTGCAGTTTGTTCAGTGTGAGGAAGGACAGAGAGAGACCAGCAAAGGGAGGAAACGCATCAGCCTGGACGTAAGAAACACATTATCTCTCCTAAACTCCCTGACTATGACCCAGATGAGTCCTTAGGCTGAATCGAGTCAGTAACATTGAGCTATAATGGGGGGGACTCCTTATTTCACTAAGCAGTGGTAAAACATGTGAATCAGTGAATGAATTCAGACATGTTCTCCTCATCTGTCTCCGTCACTGTTCACCAGCCATATAAACAGACCAACATTATTCGCCTGAGTGAGGCTGAAGCTGGGCTCTTATTCGTAGCTGTAGACATGAGCACAGTGGTTTGAAAAGTTCAGGAGACTAAGCTACACATTTAATACTTAATCTATGACTGCAGCTTCCCGCAACATTTACTGTTCAGGGTTTTACTTTGCTCTATGATTGGCAGCAGGCAATAAATATTTTAGGGTCTCCCGAAGTTCTTTATACCTTTAGAGCTCTTGTGAAACGCAGTACTAATAGTGATGTACTAAAATGAAATTCCTGTCCAAAACCATAAGAAAGGGTATAAAAAATACACTTTTATTTTGATAAATTCTAATTTCAATAGGACAAAACTGAACTGACAATAACTAGAATAGTTTGCAGAAAATAAATATATTAAGAGTATTACAGTTTGTGGCCTCAACAACAGAGAACAGCAGTTTATAAAGACAATGAATTCAAAATTTTTTCCACTGTAGTTGTTTTTATAAACAGTGTATAGATGACAATCAAATCGTGTTTTCAGGTGCTATCAAACCTGCAGTGGAGAAGTTCTTGGGTGATACTGATGCTCCACATGAACACAGATTAGAAATCTCGTGTCTGATGTTCCAGATTGAGCGCGTCTTGTTGACCAGTGCGAAGAGAGAAGGAAACAATCAGCGTTTTTAATCCCAGATTCTCGTTTATTAGTCAGATCAGTCAAAGGACTCACTAAGTGTTTCAACACTTCATAGTGTTCTTTATTTTTTTGGCTGCGTTTTGGTGCATCTCCACTTACAGAGATTAAAAAATAAATTAAAACCGGAGTTGAAAGAGGAGTTTTTAAGCTTTTTAGTTGAGCAGGTGCTCATTTGAAGTGCATGCTCCTCCTGCTGGTTGTGGAGTAACTGCAGGTGTGTATTATGTATGTATTAACAGGAGCTGGAGTGTGACGTCTCTCTGGAGGATGATAACAGGCAGGAGTGGGTCTTCACCCTCTATGACTTCGACAACAGTGGCAAAGTCACCAAAGAGGTGAGATTTTACACCAGCTGAGCGGCCTGCAGTGTTAACAGCTTAATAAAAACATGCTTATTCCAGAATTCCCAGCTTAATAAAAACATGCCTATTCCCTGATTGGCTGCTCAAATTCTTTCAGGAATCTGTATCAAAGTCATGTTTTGTTGTAAATAAGTAAAAAAGTGTAAGCATATAAACAATATACGTATATATAAGTATAATTGTATACTTATGAATAAGCAGAAGTGTAAATAAGTAAATGAGTGCTCTACATAAAATATTAAATTTGCCATAATCTTTTCATATACCACATTGTATGTTTTATTATTTCCCCCCAATATGTTAAATTAAGCAAATAAACCGTAATTGTGTATTAAAGTGTGCAGAAGTATGTTCTCTGTAGAGGATAAGGTCACTTATTTTCACTTAGAAAATCATCAAAACGTTTCAGATAAACTTTCAAACAAAAGTAAGATTTTAATTTTATTTATTTTTTTATTTAATTTTATTTATTTTTATTTTATTTTATTTCCCCCAAAATGTTAAATTTAGCAAATTAACAGTAGTTGTGGATAAAAATGTGCAGACGTGTTCTCTGTAGAGTATAAGTTCACTTATCTACACTTAGAAAGTCAACAAAACATATCAGATGAACCTCCAGATAAAATTAAGATTTTAATTGGTTCTGCCACCGAGTATGTCTGTATGTTTGTGCCTGTTGGTCAGCGGTCTGTGTAGTTTGGAAAAAGAGGGGAAACCATCAAAAAGTGCTCTGGAAAGTGTCCAGCTCCAGTCCAGGGTTCCAGTCCAGCACAGTGTGATGATTTGGTTTGGTGTGTGTTTGTGTGTGATTGTTCAGGACATGTCCAGTCTCATGCACACTATCTATGATGTGGTGGATGCCTCAGTAAACCAGTCGTGCCACAGCAAGAGTAAGACACTGAGGGTGAAACTGACCGTTACTCCGGACCCCAGCAACCGTCGCAGAGAACACACACACTCTGGAACAGGTAACACACACAGAGGAGCAAATGTAGCACAAATCACTACTGTTCACACTCATATTCCAGTGATGGTGCACGCTTTCACATGCTAACCTCACTTGGTTTGGACCACAGTACTGTCACATTGATGGTTTTAAAGGCCCGTCTGGGTTAAATCTTTAACTGCCTCCTCCTGTCAGAGCGAGACTGGAACTGTAGCCGTGTGGAGTCCACCCAGCAGGAGGAAGTGCGCGGAGCAGACAGACGACACTCCACACACATCAGGTCAGACACTGCAAGATACCTGGGCTACATTTCTGGGTCTTTCCACTCCAGTAACTTGTACAGCTTCTGCAGTACCGTCCTTAAAACTAGACCAAGTAGAACTGACTGATTTCACAAAACCTGGATATAGAAGCTGTAGTAGAAACCTTAAGAGATTTAGCAACATAGGGTATAGGATCCATGTGTCAAACACAAGTCACGAGTCAGGTTCTGTGACACAGTCCTATTCGGCCTGCAAAATTATTTTCATTTTCTATTATTATTAGCCTGTTTCACCCTGAGATGCACTACAATCCCCAGCATGCACTGCAATATAGTGTGCGGTCTGACCCCCTTCCCCAGCAACAATTCATGGGCCAGCAGTTACACAAAAAGAAAAGATGCCTGGGGTCTAGTTCAAGAAAATAGGCAGCTTTAAAAAAAGCTAAATCAAATCATTTATTTTTATTTAGAATTAATTTTGAATAAGCATTTAATGCCTATTTTGGTGTTGCAGTTTTGGCATATTTTAAATAAACAATGGCAGAATGTTAAGTAAAAATGAAATAAAAACACAGCTGGCCCACGGATTTGCTAAGATTTTTTAATATGGCCTTTTTAGTGGTTGAGTTTGACTCCCCTGGTATAGGCACTGTGGAAGAAACCTTCAGATTTAGCAATAAATGTGTGTTGAAGTTACAGAATAAAACATCTAAGATTAAACAAAATACAGATATAGAAGTTGTAGAATAAAACCTTTAAAAGATTGAGCTAAAACTGGATGTAGAAGCTGTAGAAGAAACTTTGAGATTTAGCTAAAAGTACATGTAGAACCTGTAGAAGAAACCTTACTAAATTTAGCTAACACTAGATATAATAGCTTAAAAAATTGTACAAGATTTAAAAAAATTGTTGTAGAATCTAAAGAAGAAATGTTATGAGAATTAGCAAAAGACAGATATAGATCCTATAGAAAAACTGGGCAAAAACTGAAAAAATAAGCTGTAAAAGCCTCAAGATTTAGCAAAAGGCAGGTATTAAAGCCATAGCAGAAAGCTTACGAGATATACAACATAGGATACAAGAGCTGTGGAAGAAAACTTCAGATTTAGCAAAAGATATTTATGCTATAGTAGAAAACATACAAGCTTTAGCAAAAGACAGATATAGAAGTTGTAGAATAAAAACCTTAAAGGATTTCACTAAAGCTTCAGGCAGAAGAAACTTTATGAGATTTAACTAACACTAGATATAGAAGCTTTAGAAGAAAACGTAAGAGATTTATCAAAATCTGTTATAGAAGTTAAATAGAAAACTTTATGAGATCTAGCAAAAGATGGCTGTAGAGATTATAGAAAAAATGGCAAAAGTGGGAAAAAATAAGCTGTGAAAGAAACTTCAAGATTTAGCAAAAGACAGGTATTGAGGCCATGGCAGAAACTTAGGTAATTTAGCTAAACTAGATGTAGAAGGTCCAGAAGAAACCTTAAAAGATTTAACTAAAGGGTTCTGTATAAGCTATAGAAGAGACTTCACAAGATTTAGCAAAATGTGTATGTAGAACAATAGTGAAAGGCAGTAACCAGGCCAGAAGAAACCTTAGGAGCAGAGACTGGATCTAGAGGTTTTTTGATCGATCAGTATGTTTATTCGATTTTTTAACTACTATATAAAAGTTACATGTAACAAAGATAGTAGCAGTGCAAACTTCACCCACAACAATCCCACCTCCCCACCGATCCCCAGCAGTGCTTACAGGGTAGGTTTAGTATACAAGTAAATCATTTCCAGAGAGCAGTTGACACAATCCAACACATATAGATTATAGATTATACAGCGTAATAGAGGCTGTCAAATAAAGCAGCAATGTTGTCCTGGATTTTAAATATACAAGAAAATCTCTGCAGTATTTCGCAAATAGGCTACGGGGTCAGAGGATATAGTGATAATATAGAGATAATAGTGATACAAGGAGCGCGATCTTACAGAAGAAACCTTGTAATAAATACTGCATAAAGAACCAATTAAAGAAAGATTTAGTAAAGACTGGAAAAAGCTATAGAAGAAGAAAGAAGTACTTTTAGTAATAAAAGTAGTTAAGTATAAACCAAAATTGCTCTTTTTGTATTTTGCAAATGTTTATATACACAGCAGTAATGAGAGTTATTAAACGTTCCCGGTTTCAGAGGGCAGGTCGCCGACCCCCCGGCGCGGAATCATTACTGTGTGGATGAAAACACGGAGAGGCGGAATCATTATCTGGATCTGGCTGGCATCGAGAACTACACCTCCAGGTTCGAAGGTCAGTGAGAATGGACAGAGACGACTTCATGTCGAAGCAAACACAGTTTTTGTTTTGTTCACTTGTTCACTTTTGTTCTCTGTCCACTCTCTCTGTCTTTTCAGCCACAGTGCCCCCTACAGTCCGTCAGGATCAGTCCACCCGAACGTCTCACTCTCAGAACCGCTCTCGCTCGCACGAGCCCGAACCACACGCCCAGCAGCGCCGCTCTCAGGTCATCGCTGAGCACTACGCCCGCCCGGCCCACAGCAAATCCCCTAAAGGAGCGTCCAGAGGAGGTGGGATGACCCCAGCAGCGGTCAGTGGAGGCGGGAGGGGCAGTAAGTGTTATATGCATTATCCTCCAGTTCAGGCTGGACACCACGGAGGCCAGGATGTTTATCATCTGCCCCAGCAGAGCCAATCACAGCCGGCCACGCACCTCCAGCACCCTCTACAGCACAGCCACAGCAAGAGGCTCAGGGCAAAAGTCAGAGAGCAGGCCGGCAAACAGCAGCAGCCTTCGCCGGACCGAGAGTCTGTCAGCAGCCCTGGAGGCTTCGTGCTGCCAGTGGTCCAGCGGCACGAGCATCATCACCACCATGAGCATCATCATCATCATCACTACCATCACTATCATCAGACATGACCAAATACTGCACCTGTAGGGCAGCGTGGAAGAGTCTGTCTATTCCTGTGGTCACTAATCTTGGTCCTGGAGTACCTCTGTCCTGCATATGATCCAAGGCTATGTTCACATTACAAGCCTCGTTGCTCAAATCAGATTTTTTGCTCAAATCCGATCTCTCTAACAATATGGTTCACACTCGTTTAGGTAAGTGACTCAAATCTGTCATTAATGTGACGAACCGGCGTCCTGAAATGACCCTCATGAGCTCATCCTACTCAGTAACGTCACGTGAATGAATCACGTTCATCATCAGCACAAACTAACGAGCAGAACGAGCTTCGCTGAGAAGATAATTAACTCTGATCAGCTCTCAGCTTCATTATTAGAGCGAGACGAAGGAGAAAAAGGTGAGATGAGCTGCTTTTCCACCGTTTACAGGCTTTAACTTCTGTTCGGCGCTGTTGCCATGGTAACGCTGAATGGTGGTCACGCGCAGTGGAGAAAAAAGCACACGAATTCCGATCTGAGCGTCACATTAAGGTTGCATGGCCACGAATCAGATACGGATCCGATCTAGGACCACATATGAAAGTGACTCAGGTCGGATTTGAAAAGATCAGATTTGTGCGTCCACACAGCTCTGAAAACATCAGATCTGAGTCACATTAGGGCAAAAAATCAGATTTGTGCCACTTCAACCTGGTAATGTGAACGTAGCCTAACTGATAAGCTAATTAAAGGGCCCATAGCGTGAAGAACCTTACTTACTAAAAACAGTCTGGTGTAATTTATAGGGCTGAAACAAATATTGTACAAAAAAATAAATAAACAGACATTTCTGTAGATTTGTTGTTTACATTTTCACACAGTGAATGTCCAGCCTACAGTGAATTAACGAGTTAACCTGAGAGGGCAGCAGTTCACTCATCTGTGCCTGACTGGTCACTGTCTTCACATTCTCTCAATGGGCAGCATTTTAACCCAAAAGGAACCTTAGTAGGCATTGCTTTTGGGACCCTCCTTCAGAAAAACGGTAAAAACTAAAACGTTGTAAAAATGGTAAAAACTGCAAAGAATAAGCTGTGGACGAAAACTTGAGATGGATATTGAAGTAAAAACCTTACGAGATTTGGCAAAACAAAGATAGAAGCTATAAAAGAAACCGTATGAGATTTAGCTAAAACTAAATATAGAAGCTGTAGAGAAAACCTTATGATAGCTTCTACTGTGTGATCATGTGATCAGTTTCCTCGCAGCTTACTCTCACCTCCGACTGTACAGGTGGACTTGCTCAGCGTATAAGGATGGATCTCGAATTTGCAGTAACTATATACTTGACTTGCAACAAGATTACAGATGAACGTGACTACTAAACACACTTTCCCTTCACTTAAGTCCGACCTGTGTGCACGCTCACATCACCACAGCGTTTGAAATCCCACCACTAACCCCCCGATAATGTCTCTTAATGTGGTTATTTTCAACAGCAACCAAACGTAATGCTTAAGTAAGCGGAGCTGACTTGTTGTCAGTGACGGCACAATACAATACATATCAGCAAAAAAAATTAATTTAAGAAAAATATTGGATACAGGCCCAGTCTGTACAGTCCATATACAGAAACTAAGCTGAGTATTTTGAATTCATCATGGCTGTGATGTCACAACCATGACCTCATTCATATATGACCGCCCATTCAGCCTACAGCAGTTTAGCCAGCCTTCACATTGAAGTGATGTGGAGTGTTGCTCCTGCAGACAGGCTTCAGCAGAGTAATTGGAGTAGAAGAGACAGTTAAACCAGCCAATAAGAACAGAGGTCATTTACATATAATAGCCTTCAAGGCACATAACTGAAGCAGCCTGTTTTGTTCTATGGAATGAAGAGAGGTTGAAAGGTTGATTGTTTTTGGAGGAAAATACAAGAAAAATGTAGAATCCTTTAACAAAGCCTTACTGAGCTGCAGGGGGATTGTTTGAGGAGGGAAAAGGCTAAAATGTGCAGGACAGGGGTACTTCAGCACCTGAGTGTGATGACCACTGCTCTTCACTCTCTCCTTTCCTCTCTTGGTCAGCAGACAGGCTGAGGACCAGGCTTCTAGAAAACTGTGGATTCAAGACTTCCTTTTGTCCTCACGTTTCAGCTGGAATTCTCGGATTTCCAAGTTTTACGCCGAACCACCCGCCCACGTCTTCAGTTTGAAGAGAAGACTAGAACAGTCATCTCCAAATGGACATTTAAAACCGGACACATGGTGCTTTGCTCGTGTCCACTCTCTGCCATCCACCGAGAGTTACAGTGACACTCTAGCTGTTCTCCTAAACCCAATCTCAGGTGAAAGGTGCTGCTCTTTAGCTTTTCAGATTTAAAAAAAAAAGGCTGTTTTCCTCCAGGGTGACCCGCTGTGGACTGAGGGGTCACCCTGTTACCAGGGTACACAACACCACTGCCAATTTATAATGCAAAAATATATATACCTGTATGTATGAAACTATATATCTGTTAACATTTTATTGTATGATTATACAGCATATGCATATTTATAGTGGTCAATATATATATGCATATATGTTTTTTGTTTTTTTATATATATATTTTAATAAAGTACTTTGTACACACAGTATTTTAAAGTCTTCTGCAGAGAATTCTTTATAGATAGAGTCGTATGGAAAAGTTTGACCTCCAGTCAAATCACGTTTTATTTTCTGTGTAAAAAATAGGTTGGCACATGCTCTACAGGGGACACCCTGAAATATGGCATTTTTCTGCACATTTTAGTGCACCAGTTCTGTTTAACTCTGTTGAGTTTAACATATTGGATAAAATAAAATTAAGATGTATAATGTGCCATGACTTTTGCACAGGCCACATTTCATGTTTTAGATTTTTCTCAGTGTGTAAAATTCAGTAAATAAACAGTAATCGTGCATTTAACTGTGCAAAAGTGTGTCTCTGTGGAGGATGTGTTCCACAATGGGGGGCTGGAGTGGTGCAACCGTCGAAGCATTGGCCCCCTCATCAGGAGATCGCAGGTTTGATCCCTGGCGGTGCCAAGAGAGTCCAAGAGAGCACAATTGGCCTCGCTCGCTCTGGGTGGGCAGGATGGACCCCCGTCTCCCCTCCATCACCCAGCGCGATGCTAGCCAGCGATAAATAACATTTTGTGACATTTTCATTGGCTTTTTGACCAAGTGAGGAGACCTAGGCCCCCTCGGCCCCCCTGTAGCTACACCTCTGGTCTAGAGTCCACGCTAAAGCACTGGTTGTGGTGGCTTGCAAACACAAAAGACCATGTTGTGCACTTTTAAACCAGCAGGTGGCACAGTTTCAGCATTCATTAGTTTCTGCTAAAGTGCCAGGGATCTTTATTCTGAAAGCCACAGTGATGAGAGTGGAGCACCAGCCAGTCTATAAATCAGATGCCTGCATGGAGCAGAGCACATTTAAAAGAGATAGTTTCCCAGACCCAGATTAAGCCTAAGACTAAACAAAAAAAATTTACATGAAGGATCTTTCATTAACACTGCTATTTAGTATTAGACTAGGCTTAACTCATGTCTGGGAAATTGGCACATAACGTCCAACGCAATATTAGAAAATACATTAATGCTTTCATGAAGTTGAGATCTGAACAGACTACATATGAATATAGAACAGATAAAAGCTTAAAAAGGTCATTATTTAATCATTTCGTTCATTTATCAGGTTCACTGTTGTGTGTGTTTGAGAGAATAAGTCTTGAGTAAAAGTGCAGTGAAAGCTTAAAGGCTTATATTTTGGAAAGTTAATGTTTTATTTCATTTCACAAACGGCTGGTGGGTCTCGGGACAAACAGAACTTGCTTTAGAGAAACAGGGTCAGTGCTGATGCTGTAGTAAGAGCTCCAGCACCCTCTTGTGGTTAAAAAGCAGAATTGTCAACTATATTGAAATAAGTTTCATTCTAGAGAAACTTGCCAGATGTCTGAGGAGTTTAACACAGTGGTGCCCAAAGTGTGACCCATAGGCAAGTGTTGACCAGTGAGGGTGTTTGATTTGACCCACCAGAAAAATGCCCTAACATCACCCCCGAGGGAACAAATACCTGTGCTTAAATATGAAAAATTCCTATTTTCCTTTTAAAATTGTATTGTAAGTTAAACTATAAGTTTAATGTTGAAAATACGTAGTAAAAAAATAAAAAAAAACAGTGTATCAAAGACATTTTTAGGAACTTTAATGTTGAAAATATGTAAAAAAATACATTTTTAGGAACTTTAATGTCAAAAATATGTAATAAAAATGTAAAAAAAACAGTGTATAACATACATTTTAGGGACTTGAATGTTGAAAATATGTAATTAAATATTTAAAAAAGTATCAAATACATTTTCGAGAACCTAAATGTTGAAAATATGTAATAAAAATATTAAAAAATAGTTTATCAAATACATTTTTAGGAACCCACCTATCTTCTTTATTTGTATATTGTTTTGTTTTTAGGCCCTCAGCCCACCACAAACGTTGTGCTCTCATGCAGGGTGTTCCAGGGCAAAATCATCCCTAAAGATTTTCCACTATTTTCCATCATCAACATTCCATATAAACTCAGAAGACTCGTGTAGGTTCACTGGTGGTTCTGGATGGTAAATAAAATGTCTATATTTGTGTTGTAGTCATGGCGACCCCTGGTTCCTATCACCACCACTGTAAAGACATCTGAACCATTTCACACCAAACCACTCTAAATCTCTCTGTTTACATCTCACTCACTGAATTATGCAGAAATTCTGAAAAATCTGTAAAAACCCTGTAAAATCTGAAACTAATACATTTGTCTATCTTTATCTGCTTGTGTTTCATTTTGTTTGTTAGTAGTGTGAGGCTGAAGGTGGCTGTGGGTCACCCCACCTCACCATGCAGCGCTGTGCGCGCGGGCCAGTGAGAGTTTACCCGGGGCTGGGGTGGTTTTGGGGGGGGGTTTAGGGTGTTTTAAAGGGGGTAAAGAAGCCCCCCCACTGCGCCAAACAATAGCATCGCTGAAAAGAGATGGGAGGAGCGGAGAAATGCAAATGCCCCCAGTGCACAGTCCCGAGAGACACTTTATATCACTCCGGACTGAAGGAGGTAGGCAAGTGGGTCCAGTTTTTATACATTTGCTTCTTTTCTGTGCTAAAAGTTAGTTTGGAATAGTTAGTTTTGAGGCCTAAACTGTGCATAACTAGATCCCACT